CCCCCCCCCCCTTCTCGGCCAACGCCAGCAACTGGCTGTGAGTAGCCGCGGGGCGAGGGAAGGGGAGGAGGGGGCTAGCGCTGACACTTGTTGATAGCCCCCCCCCGCCCCGGGGGGGCGGCGGAGCAGGTGCCGCCGGGGTCGGGCAGCATCGGGGTGCGACCCCCAGCTTCCCCCCCCAGCAACGATGCCGCTCGGTGGTGGCAGGGGTCGTAGCCCGCATCCCCGGGCAGGTGGGCTGCAGGGGATGCCGACCCTCCCCAGCCGCTCAGGTCCGGTGTATTAACGAGGCCGGTTGGACGGGAGCCGGTTATCGAGCCCCCGTCCCCTTTTTGTCCTTAAGTCATGAACCCGGACCACGCTGGGGGGACGATGGAGGTCGGGGCACTGGGTCGCAGCAGGGCCTGGGGGTTGGCGAGGCGCCGCGCGAGGGTCAGCGGGCCGGGGAAGGATTTGGCAGGGCTGGGGCAGCCGAGCGCGCCGGCCCCGGGGATCTGCGGCGGGCAGGGCTGCCCACGCCTCGGCCCCCCGGTTCTGGCAAGAGGACGGGTGGCGGGGGGCTGTCACACGCCACAGAGGAGCCCGGTGACATTGGGAACCCGCTGAACAAACACTGAAATAATGTGTAAGGTAAACAGGGGCGGAAATCGTTCTGGAAAATTCCTGCGTGTTTGCCAAGGCAGTGGGACTGTCTTCTGGGGAGACCCCCCCCCGGGGCAGAGGGGATGGAGCATGACAGCACCTTCCTGCCTAACTTTGAACGAAGGCACCGGTTCCTCCTAATTAATCTGCTCTGGTGGGAGATGGCGCTTCCCCTGCTCCCGGCGTTGCCGGCTGCCATGAACTAATTAGTTCCCGGTGCATGCAGCCAGCAGACCCGCTCTTGGGCTGGGAACAGGGGCCACTTCCATCTCACCTCCCCAGGTCTCCATCAGCAAGGGCAGGTACACCACAGCCGGTTGGGGAGCCCCTGGGGTTGTTGGCACGAAAGATCCCATGTGCCTCTCCCCACACCTGCGCTTAGGTGGGCACGGTCCCACAAGCACGAGGAGTCCTCTCCGCATCCAGCTCCCATCTCTCCTGCCTTTAGGTTTGGCTCGCCGGAGGCTGTGGGACGTGGGTGGGTTTTGGAGGATGCTCCCTACACCCCGGGGAAAGTGCCAGGTCAGCAGCATTCTCCGAGTGTCCTGCCCGTGGGAAAAGGTGCTCGCCCATCGGTAGCCGCCTGAGATGCGTTAGCACTTAGTCCTCCTCCCCTCCTCCTTTGCCAGATGGAGTGATTTGCGCGCCACGCGTCTCCGGCAAGTGGTGGGTGGATCATAGCAGCTATCGAGGTGGTCTGTTAAGCTGTCACGCTTCTGGTGAAGGTATATTGGGAACTGTGGGAGTGTTTTTCCTGCAGGGAGAAAGTCCTGCTGAAGAAGCCCTGCGGGATGGTGGCAGGTCCCCGGAGAGAAGCAGCCTCGGCTGCCGCAGGACGGGCACGGGGAAGTGCTTGGCGAAGGGGGATTTCACGAGCGAGGCTGACGAGCCTCTCGGCTTGGATGCACGGAGGTGGGACCCCCCGGGTCCCCGGCACCGCAAGCAGCTGGGATGGTATTTGGGAAGCCGAGGCGGAGGGGTGGTTCGCCGCAATAGACGGGGAGGGCTGTGTGCAGCCGTCCGTGCTGGCGAGGCAAAGGGTGGGCGCGGGGGGCTCGGCGGCGGGAGAGCAGAGGGCTCATTCCTGCCAACAGGGGAGGAAAAGCAGATGCATTTCAGCGCGTTTGAAAGGAAGGGGGTCCACTTTTTTTGATGTTGCAAATGTATCATGATAAAAGGATCGTCCACGGCTCGTGCTTTTTATTCTTTGCCTTTAGGATTAAGACAATTCCCATTGTTTATCTTCTCACATCAGAAACAAAGGCCGCTGGAGGCAATAAAGAGAGTTAGAAGGATCCCAGGAGTTATCAGATATTCGAGGAATGAGTGTGCCTCGTACATCTTCGTGAAGCCTCACGCGTGTGGGCTCCAGCATGCTCTGCTTTATCACGGAGCTGCCCGGGCGCTGCCAGCCCGTGCCCAGCACACCGGGGCCGGATCCAGCCTCGCTGGGCGCATATTTCTGCACATAGGTGTGTGCGCTGGGTGGCAGCGCACGGTGAAGTTTGCGTTTCCAGAAACCTGCTGGATTAGTGATTAAGCTCAGTTGTGACTTTTTTTTTTCTTCCCCCCCCCCAAAGCTTCTTTCGACCTGTCTGGACTTGCATTCCCCCAGCGCTTCAGAGAGACGCTGCTTGCAACACTTGAGCTGAAGGTTTTTCTGTAAGCCTGGCTTTGTGGGGAAGGGCTTGTTCTGGCCATGCAAATGGTGTCCTCTGAACCGCCCCATCCCATATAGAAGGGAGACGCTGTAGGTATCTCTCAGAGGGATTGCTCTGCTACAGCAACTGTTGAGCTGGAAGGGACTTTGCCAAATCTTTTCATTAAACAGACCAAGCTACTTTTTCTCTGGTTAGGAAGCAAACCTTAGGTGTGTTTTCTCAGTGTCTTGAGTTTGGGGAGTTGCTGCTTGGCTTGCTGTCTATCCAGAAAACCTCTGTTCTCTAAATCTGAAGAGATGCTCTGTTCCCCTTCTCATGAGAGCCTCGCGCTTGCTCTTCCTCCTGCCTTTGGAGGCTCAGAGAGTTTTAAAGCTTTTCCTCCTGCCTCTTCAGGCGCGTAAAATTACATAAAGGGCTGTAGTTAGTGCCTTTTAGATCTAGCTGGTTGTGCATGGGAAGGTCCCTCCAGCTTCTGCTCTATCCCTGGAGGAGTCCAGGGACATCCTTTATACGGGGGAAATAGCTAAGTTACTTTCCAAAGCAACTCACATTTCAGAGACTCGATTCAGCTCTTGAACCTGCACATGCAGTAGTGTGGTTGAATTTGGAAGCATGTTCTCTCAGTCATCGAAAACCATCCTGATGCTGGGGAGCAAGGTTGTAGAGGATTTCAGCCAAACGAGCACCTCTCTAAAGCCGGCATGGGAGCACCAGGCTCTGGTTTCAGTGGGAGGTAAAGGGCAAGCAGTCATGTAGTTATTTATTTATTTATTCATTTATTTATCTATTTTGGAGGGAGGGAAGTCCACCTGAAGAGGTGAACTAGAAAATGTGCAAAGTGGGGTGTGGGTGTAAGCATCCACTAACTGCACATGGCACTGGGGCTCCTGTGATCTGTAGCTGTTCGTGCGGTTTGAATGATGAGAGTCAAATCCCATGACCGGAAAGCATCAGATACAACAGGGCAGGGGTCCTTTATGGGCGAGACCCCTGGTTATCAAGGTATCTGGAAATCATTACAGCCTCTCTCCATTTTCTTGCAGCTAAAACTGGCTTTGGAAGAGGCTCTCCATATGTATGCTGGGTAGTTGATATGCGGTTATGCCGCTGCAGAGCAGGGTGTGCCACCAGCAGCTCCGTCTACCCCCTATTTACAGGGGTTTAAAACTTCCGTCTGGGCTTGAGACTTGACTTAAAGGGCCAGGAGCACAGATGGGCTTTTAAACCCTTTTAAAAAAAAACTGAATTTGAGCACTCTGGGAAAGCTTGAACCTTGCAAGTATCCGAACAAGCCTGGCTAAGCAGCTGCTCTCTAATAGTAACTACTTTTGAGGGCTGGAGAGGGAGGGATAAAAGGAGTTTGGATTTCTCTGGCCCCCTTTCATCTGAACATCACAAGGTGCTTTGCAAACGCTGGGCCTGATTCTCCGTGCTCATCCCTGACAGCTTCGAGGATGTTGCAAGAGCAGCCTGAACGCTCGTTTTGTGCCGGTTTGGATCATTGTGCAACGTAGAGGATTTGGGAAGAAGCATGCTGGAGTCCTACACTTGAATCCCTCTGTTTTTAAACCAGACTTGATTTTTTTTAAGGTGAGTCTCCCCAGCTTTGGTAGCGGAGAGATCTCGCTTCACCTTGAGCCTGGCTTGGTTTAATTTTGTACGAGATTCTTTGCATTGTCATTGCGACCCTCCCATTTTCCACCTGGCGAGGAACCGGTCCAACATTTTCCCAGCGGATGCCATGCCACCACGGCGCTGATTCGGCAGGTGCAGCTAGCTCCAGGGCAGAGCTGCTCCTGCCGAGCCCCGCTCCCCTCCCTGTGCTCTTGTTTTTTGATGCGAGGATAGTGTCAGGAAAGTTCCCCAAGTCACATCTGGTCTGGCAGCCGGGATGGTGGATTGCACCGATGGGGTTTGATGGAGAATTTCCTTGCTTTGAGGGCTGCTGTGGGTCGGATGAGTGGCTCTCCACTTCTGGGGTGCCCAGGGCTCCTTTGCATTGCTCTGAGGATCCTGCTGGGTCCGCGAGGTTGGTGTATGCAACCAGTGACACCCATTCCCCGAGGCTGAGGGGAGGGAGAGTGAAACCGGCAGCCTCCATTGGAAATATTTATTAGTTTTTATTTATTTATTTACAAGCCTTGCCACTTTTGACAAAAGCAGCTAATTTTAGCTCAGCGATGAAAACAGACTGGCTTTTAGGGTTGCATCTTGCCTCTGCCAATCTTGGTGCTGGACTTCCAACCAGTTTGGCTTGTCTCTGAGTGCTGGTCCTGTCTGGCAGGAAGACTTCAGGGCTGCATTTGCCAGGGTGTAGGAGGGACCTGTGCGCTCTGGCTCCTCAGCAGTGATAGGCATTTCTGTCCTAAGGAAGCCTCAAATAAAACTACATCCCAATCTTTAGCAGCAGAGCCTTATTCTAGGGAGGATGGACATGAGAGAGATAAAACCACTCTGCACCCCAGATTGTGCAGAACTGGAGCAGCTCCAACTATGAGCAACAGCAAGAAGCAGATTTCTTTTTTGCAGTGGTTTGCTATAACTCTGTGAGTCAGAACTGGACTTTTGCATTGAAGCAAAAAAAATATTTGTTACACTGCTGAGAGCTACTGTCCTCTCAATTAATTCATCCGTGCTGATGGAGAGAAATGCATTACAGCCATTTATCTGGACTTTCTTAAAATGATGAAATTGCTGAGCAATCCTGGAGGTTAATGGTTTTGAGGAGGTTCTT